ATATTAATTAGGGAATCCCATATATCTAAGGGATAGGGAAATGGGAATCCCATTTATCTAAGGGGTTGGGATGGGATTCCCACTACTAAGGGTAAAAAGGGAAGGGAACTAGCCATGGGACTCCCATGGGAATTCCCTTCCCTTCCCAACGGCCAGCCTAATCAGGCTAGAAGTATAGAGATAAGGGAAAGCTAAAAACTACCTCTATAATATAGTTATTAGTAAAATAAGTTTATTTAATTAAAGTCCTTCCTTAGTTAATTATCTAGATTAAGGGTCTAAAAGATCACTATTAGCTGCCTACTATAAAAGCTTACTAAAGCTTATAATTATATTTCTTCTTATTAGTAAGCTTACTTGCTATAAACTTTCCTATATCTTTTCCCTAATAAAAGAGTATTATTTCACTAATATCTTCTAAGCCTTTCTTAGATAATAAGGGCTAAATATACTTATAGAATAAGCTAAAAAGACTACTGGGGCTGGAGAGTACTAGAGAATACTAAAATATCCTAGATGTCTATGCCTGTTCTATAACCTTTAATAGTTATAGTAGTATTTCCCTAATATTCTTTAAGAGGAAACTACAGGAATCTTCTATCTCTTTAGTATTTATAATTATTAATAATTCCTTCTAAACTATATTATATTCTTTAATATTAATCTCGTCCACTCCCTTATTTATTAACCAGTAAGGAGGTTTAACTATTTAAATAGGCTAGGAGTAAGCCTATTTAAGATTAACTAAGTAAGTAATATACTACTTATTATTAATAAAGATATTACTTTAATAGAGATCTATTAATATAAATATAAAAGGTCTATAATAAAAGTCTTAATATAAAAATAATAGTACTATTATTTACATTGCTACTAGTGCTGATATTTAATATCTATAATCTTATATATTATTTATAGCATTAGGCTAGTATTATAGGCGGCTATTATAGATACTTAAGATATCTATAATATAAGACTTAATAGTAGAATAGGTGTAGTTATAGGGTAATCTAGTTAGAATCTTCTTATTTTCTAACTCTTATAGCTCTATTAAAAGAGGGTAGTTACTTAATATTAAATAGCCTTCCTTATTAATAATAAATAACCTAATATAGGGTAAAGGCATTCTGCTAATACTTAGTAGGATCTAAGAGAGAGTTCTGAAGAAATTAGTCTATAATTTAATATTATACTAATTTTTAGACTATATATCTAAAAGTATCCTCTCTTATATTTCCTTAATATACTTTATTAATAAGTATCTGGCCTTACTCACATCATCTAGATAGGATTTAGTTATATTTAGATAGTAAATATAGTATGATGGGACTGATAAGCCTAGTTATTATAATAATTAATAGTAGATAGACTGAAAATAATAGCTAAGGAAAGGAAGGAGTTTAATTTAAGTATATTATAGTATAAGGATTAGTTGCTAGGTATTTACTAAGAATATATAATCTTATATAGTTTTACTAGTAGATATAATAAAGCTATATAATTATGGAATTAGAATATCTAGATAGTTTTATTAAAGCTATATATAAGTACTAGCTTTATATTAGATTTTTTTATTCTTATTTCTAGGC